TGAAAAACACATTTACCAATAGTTAATATAATGAAACAACTCATCAATCAAAAATAACCAAACAATAGCGTATACTACCACAAAACTTCATCAAAAACAACCCATTTGCTTAATTTCCTAACTTTATTCGATGATTTTCTTTAGATTTGTTTTTAACTATGAACTGATCTGATAAAAACAAGGTTTCACATCCTTGATCAATAAATTGCTTCTTAGTCATTTTATCTCATCCTTTGGTCTAATCTTCGCTAAAAACTGTTTAAACAAGTGTGCTTAATGACTTATATAATGCATAGGAGTATTGAACTCAAGCCTGGACAAACTGATTAAACTTGATGATAGACAGCTTTCAGATGAAAAAACCTATAGGATAATCAGACTGAACTATATTATTTTTTTCATTATTTTAGTTTTCATGATCAATGATCGATTAAGAATAATCGAAGTAAAACAAAAAAGAGGCAAGCATTGATCTCATTTATTTATCAAGTGGTAATTTCTCGTCTTTTTTCTGTTCTTTTCGAAATAAACGTAGAAATGCAACACTGATGACGAATGCCATAATCGAGAGGGATGCATACATCCAAATCAATTTGGGATCGATCGTCAGTGGTAGAAGTGCGAAACTCAGAGCACTACCGATCGCGGTGGTGAAGAGGAAAAGTGATACTACGATAGATTTCATTGATGCTGGAGCATGAGTGAATGCATACTCGAGTCCAGTAATTGATCCTAAGATTTCAGCAATGGCCATTACTATGTATGAAGGAATTTGCCAAGCTACAGAGATATTGTTAAATTTTTGACATGTTAAACACGGTTTTGTTGCGTAAGTGTAGTTGGGCCCAGTCGAATAGATCATATGTTGAACAAATGCTGCCCAGATCATACCAATTGATGCAAAAACGAAACCGAAAGTGATACGACGGACAGGGCTAATATTGATTTTAAGTCGTCGCAAAATAGGATAGATCAATTTGTCAAATATGGGAATGAGAATAAGCACAACGATTGCAACAATATTCTGCAAAACATCATTAGGTAGAGGACCTGAAATAAAATTCACAAAATATCGTATATCAAACCAGTTTTATCGAGAATCCTAACAGAAACTGCAAACTTACCAACATCCATTTGCGCAGCTTGCGATATAAAATTACTATATACTTGAGTCGAACAGATCCAATAAAATGGAAAAAATGCGAAAACACGACAAACACTCCATACTTGTTTTAGATCATTGATAAATCGATTCTGGTCTGATTCTGTCACTGTTTCTTTACCACCATAATTGATCGGTAATAGGGATTCTTTCGCATAATCTAAAATGTGTTGATTATCGTGTTTTTTTCCCAGTCTCCATCGTATTCGGATGGCTGTTATTGTCACACGATATGCACGAACTATCAGTGAACCATTTGGTGGTGTATGAATGTATCGATGACGACCAATCATCAGAACGAAGATACAGCCAGTGAACATGGTCATAGGTATAAGATAGGCGAGCCAGAAAGAATAATACTTTTCGATATTAGTGCTAATGATGCATGATAAGGCGCCAATATTGATCGCCCAATAGAACCAAGTGAACATTGATTGTAACGTACTAAAAGAAAAACGACACAATTCAAGAAAAAATAAAGTTAGTGATTATTTTCTGAACTCACATTTTCGGATCAATGATTTTCTTTTTGCCGTTAGTTACTGCAAAGAGAAATATAAAATTGACATGCTTTTACAAAAGAATCTAACAATTACCTTTAATAATAGGTTTTGTTCTAGTATATTGTTGAGCCATCAGTGGACTGACATTGCTCTTCAAGCCACCAGTAGCAAGACCGATTATGATTATCGATACGATCAAACCGGGAAAGGCAATACCTGTGTGAATAGAGAACGGAATGCTTGTCAAGACCAGAACGAGAAGACCAAGTACATAGATTATACATGCAAAAACTATCGTTTTGTATTTGCCCCAGAATTGATCTGCTAGAATAGCACCACCAATGGGTGTAAAAAAGCACAAGAATTGAAAGAATGTTGTCAATAATGTAGCAATACGATGCCCACGAGCGAGAGCACCCGGTTGTTTATCATGGGGACCAGGTATTGGAAATTGAATATAATTCTGAAAGGGACCCGAAAGTCCAATGAAGGCAAACCGTTCACAAAATTCGCAGACGACAATCAACCAAGCCGTCAATGGTATCTGATCAGAAATGTGTTCTAGTGTTGACAATTCTTCATCTGTTGGTTCCGTTTCATCGTTATCTTGTACTTGGTTGACTATTTTCGTTTGGGTAGCTTGCTCCGTATTCGATTCAACATCATCAATATTGCTCATTTTATGCTGCTTGTTTTGACGCGTGAGTTTGAATCAAAAGTACCATACATGTATCGAAGATTGTGTATAACTGTTGTTGCAAACCATGGTTGACATAAAGTACTTCAAATTCTCTTTTTGTCAAGCAACGCGCTAAATATCTCGTGTTCTTATCTTTGTTTTGTAAAGATAATTCGTTCGAAAAAAACTGCAGTAGTCATACGATCGTTTCATATTCTGCAATCTTGTCAGATAAACGGACAAAATACTGTTACAAAAGGTATTATGTAGTTTATCAAACATGAGTTACATAACATTTTTTCTTCTCTAATCAGAGCAGGGTACAAACGAATCTAGATCGAGCTTTTGTTGTGTCAACCATATTACCTTTGTGTCGGTATCATTGCATAGATTATTCACACCTACGGCGATGCCATACCATACTTTATCAACAGATTTATACATCACTAATTTGATATTTCTAGGTGAAGACTCCGTTTTAGTCCTCTAGGTCTAATGTTTTTATTGATGGAAGCAAGTCGAAAGACTATTCATAGTCGTGTTTATATAGAGTAAATGATTCAATATTTCTTGACACTGATAACTGAACAATTTTTATTATTTGTTTTTGTGATTGTTCGTATTGAATATTCACTGAACTTCTACTGTCTCATACTTTTATTTTTATAATGATGCACATCTACTATTACCTGTACAACAACAGGTCTTTTCAGCTGCTGTCACATATATATCTTTCTCTCTTTCTTCCTCTTATATAGATGGTCCTCAGATCTTTCATTTTCTTTCTGTTTCATACACTGACATCCTAATCACTTCCTCTCTTAACTTGGTGCATTGTTATAAGGCTTTTATGCCATCATTTTGAGCCAAATACAATAAATTGACGAAAGAGCCATTTTCCAATTAAAAATGAAACCCGTCCTCAAAGGATAAGGATAACATAGAAGTCGTCGCTATTAATCAAGCAATTGAACAAAGATTTCTGTATCCAGTTTCATCGAGGGTGTGGGTGTGTGGGTGTGGGCGTGGGGTGTGGGTGTGAGTGTAGGGTGTGGGTATGGCTATCAATAGCATAAACACCATCACCTGCTCAAAGGCATACCCACACCATCACCTGTTCAAACGCACATGCACATGCACACGCACACACCCACACCCTCATATAAGAAGAACAATAAAGAAAAGCATAAAACTAAGGATCACTCCTCCTATATTAACTACGAAATCGTATTGATTATAATTATAAATGCTGGATTAAGTAGTCTTAGATTAATGTAAAGATAAGGCGTTGAAAATTAGGAGAAGCAATCATTACCACTTGAGGCTTTTGGTGTGAGTAAGGTTGCCTTTCTCGTTGCTCTTTTTCCACACCCACAGTCATAGTCAAACAACGCAGAAATACCCACACTCTAGTATCTATTTGATGATAGACTATTGAAACAATATGATATTATGAATATTTATTTGTTCCCTAGACTGAAAGGCTAGGGTCTAGAAACCGAAATTCACCTGTGTCTGTCTGTCTGTTCGTCTGTCTGTCTGTCTGTCTGTCTGTCTGTCTGTCTGTATGTCGGTAACGCGGTGAAAATGGCCATTTTTTTTGGCACATGTGACCATTTTTTTTGGCACAAACGACCATTTTTTGGCACAAACGGCCATTTTTTTACTAAAATTAACTAGGTAACTATGGTACAAATGAGCATGTAACTATGGCACAAACGGTCATTTTTTTGGTACAAACGACCACGTAACTATGGCACAGGTGACCATATAGCAACCATGGTACAAACAACTATTCCGGTAACTATGGCACAGATGACCATATAGCAACCATGGTGCAAACAACTATTCCGGTAACTATGGCACAGATGACCATATAGCAACCATGGTACAAACAACTATTCCGGTAACTATGGCACAAATGACCATCTAAAGACTGATGTAAATGTACCCATAATAATCATCGATAAAATGTGTCAATGAAATAACTATAATTCGGGTAGTGGTGTAAAACCGCTTACAAAAGCATTTAATTAGTGAGAGTCAGACCAAATGAGCAGTATGGATTTAAAGAAATCGTTTAAATTATTCATTATTGTAGGATTGATTGTGCAATGTTGTATCAATGAATATCTAATTTATTAATAGTTTAGAATTAATGCGTGAATTTAAGCATAAAATATTGATTAATAAAACTCAAATTTTATGAATAATATAATTCATATTTTTGTACGTACAAATAGCGCCAATATAATTACAAAAAAAATCGTATTCTTGTCTAATCTTATTGAGCGCTATTTATATTTATAAAAGTAAAAAAAAAATAAAATAAAACAAAAACGACAAAAAAAATTAAATTTGTAAAATGCATTATCTTTACTTAGAGTGAGAATTCTCCGAATTAAGTTTTCTGCTCGCCTTAGATATACTGATTATATTATCAATTTTGCGTATTACTTTTTTAATGTAGCTTTTTATGCTATTACATCCGTACATGTATTCTATCAGTCTAGGGCTAAGTGAATCGCTTGACGATGAACCTTACTTGTTGAAATTAACTTGTTTAATAAATCAAATATTCAGATTAAGAAACAAAGAAATTTTCATGAGATAAAATCGTAGAATGATAAATATAAAATAAATGAATTATGTTGTTTTATTTCTTCTGTTTCAAACGTTTTTCAATACCAAGCAGCCAACAACTAGCATTAACAATATAACGAGCTGTGCCTGGTGAATCCCATTTTCTATACAGCTTAGTAAAGCCACAATCTAAACATAATCGTCCTTCTATCGATGTTGCTGGCGGATCATATACGACAATACTGCTATTTCCATCAGTTGCAGTTGCTATTATGGTAAATTTTGTGCGACTTGCTGGTGCTGAATAGATGAGATGACAGATGGTGATACCCTCATATAAATTTTCTATTCCCGTAAAAATATCATGTTGACCAAAATGTCCTGTTTGTTGATGGCCATTTTCTTTGTATACCAATGTTTTATCACCGTAGTAATCACCTTCGACAGTTATGCCAAATTTTGTGCTGAGAAATTCAGATACATGAAACACGTATGGTGTATTATCAGCAAATAAGAAAATAGCTCCTCCAGACGAATGATATGTTATTAGAGCTGAGATGAATAATGGGTTTTGTATTTGATTTGTACTATTAATCCATACGATTTGATGACTATTCGAGGCCATTTCTGCTATACATTCATTTTCTGTTTTCACATGTTTCACCTGAAATTCTTTAACTTTTAATGCATCAATTGGTACTTTCATAGCTATATCATTGAATTCCGAATCTATATAAAATTGTGCAATTAAAATACTATATTCACTAAATGCACGATCTCGACCTAAATTATAAATTCTTCCTATTGGATTATGATATTGATCATAGCCACTTGCATCGGTAATACTACTACTACCTGCTACCTCTGTATAGAAGGTGGTCAGTAAACCTTTACGATCAGATTCTTCATTTTTAAATGACCCTACATGAGAAGATTGTTCATTCAATGCGTATGAGGACTTCTTTGCACGTGACTGTTCGTGAAATCTTGTTTGTTGAGCAGTATGATCAGACCGTGACGAATGAAAATGATCCTGTTGAGATTGATTTTGAGGATTTCTTGATTCAAAATTTGTTTTTGCCTGTGATATTCCTATAATTATTATAGAATAATGTACTTCTCTATTTGCCAATTCATTTTTACCTTTTGGAATATTTTGATTTACTGTCAGTGTATTGATTTTTTCGCCGTGAAAATATTTTTTTCGATGTTCGGAAGTCGAATTACGACACTGCTGTTGATTCCAACAAGGAATTAAATAATTCGGTAAACCAGCATGTCGATAATAAAAACGATGAGCAGGATCGGTCAAGTTAGAACAATTTATATCACATTTGCATTGAGGTACATCGTGTTTATTATGCGTAAATTGTATACTATGAGGCACATCATGAATATTTCGACATAATTCAGAAAAACGACACGGATGTGAATAAGTTTGATTATGATTTAAGGATTTTTGCGGTGAATATTGATCAAGGCAATAAATCGAATCTTTACATGGTATTAGATGTTCCATTCGTTAATGTTCTTCTTTTTGTCCGTTTTTCTTTCCTTCTGATTGCTTTTATGTCACAGTCAAAGTCTTCCTATAAAATTCCAGACTGGTTGAGATATTAAACCAGGTGATTTGTGAGGTATAATCTGAAAGGAATGCCGAAGTATATAGGGTAAAAATTTGAACCCCCTCCTCTCCCCTGCAGATCGTGACAGACAGCATCCAAATATCATCACAGGCCGTGACAGACACTCTGATATCGTGCCACCGACTGTACTGAGCGTTCTTGAAACATGAGTAAAGACAGTATATCAAGAACGTTTTATCATAATGTGTGAAGTACGCCCTGATTGCAGTCATGGAAGCATAAGTAAAATGATGTTTTATAAATGTGATATAGAATACCTAAATTAAAAGAAACTCTTTTTGAATTCCAAAAACAGCTATATCGTGTTTCACATTTTAATCCTGCAGGGATTTCGCTAACAGCTTTCTTGTGGCCATCACTATTTTCATATCCTTCCGATGCGACATCAATGCTTGCTGGATGGTTCGAAGAATTTTTACTCCTCACAACACTTCTATTCGTATATTGGGTGTGGGTGTGGGTGTGGGCGTGGGGTATGGATGTGGGATGTGGGTGTGGCTGTAGGATAGCACGAAGCGAAAAACAACACCCATCCCCACAACCACACCCACACCCACCCACACTCACATCCATACCTAAAAGAGCGCCCTTGAAAACCTATATTCCCGCAGTTTTCACGCAATAGAAATGTTCAAAAGTGAACTTCGAAAGCATGCAATTTCATGTCGTGGTAGTAACACTGATTGCCATCCGACTACAGAATACAGTACCTCAAGGTTTCCTTTCAATATGTTTGATTGGCCTAAAAATCTAGGAGAATAGGTTTTCAAGGGCGTACTTTTAGATGAGCTATGTCTCCACTTTGAAATCAAAACTAAACTTTTCAGGTTTCTGAAAATTTTACCCAAAGTAGCTCATGCATAAACTCTAAAAGGTTTTGTTTGGGTCAAAGTAATAAAGCAAATGTTCTGAAAATTGTTGCTAATAGCTATGGGTCAGTAGTACTTAGTTTCAAAGTGCGAGCTCATCAGTCGCTCATAAGCGATAGAAAATCCTGGTCACAATGTAGAGGGTATATCTAGGACCTATGAAATACCTCTATACTGCTTAACACGCCAAAAAGTGGTTTTGATTGTGCCAATATGTAGGGTATCTACGATAGTATATATCCACAAGATCTCATCACTAAGAACATTGCTGTTAAAAAATGATGAAATATACAATGGATGGATAGTGCATTAGATATCGTCATTTTTTACATGAAGGTGCCTCTATTATGATTTTCGTAACTCACCAGGGGAGCGATTCTACAAGCTGAAATTGTTGGCTTTTTCACATCTCACCTGGGGCTACATATAGGCAAAATTTCATTGAAATTCGTGATATCAATTGAGCACATGTTTCATATTTTGGTCGTTTCTTTCGTGCAATGCCTCTTAGATAGATATATAAACGCTCCATCAGTTGGTGACAGTTTTTTTTTGTTAATTGGAAATCTTTTTGTATAAAAAATAATTACGATGCGACCTATTTCACTTTACATTAAAGAGTATGAAAAATAGAGTTGAGAAATATTTCTTGATAAGGACATTTCTAAAAGATAAGTTCAACTGTGCACAGGTGTATGTGCTAATCAAGCCACTGAGTATTAGTCCTTGATTTGAATAAGTATTTACTTATTTATCAAACAGTTATGTATACTTTTTCGGTAAAAAGAACGAGAGGTTAGGAATATAAAAACGTTTCTTTTTGTCTTCCGTTTTTTTATGTCAGTTTTATTCTATTTTTTGACTACAATAAAAAAAGAAGTCATTGAAAAGCTATAATAATAGTGTTAGTATAAAGTGAAGGTCATGTAAACCTTGTTTTACATAAAAAAGATAAGACTATTTAATACCTCACCTAGAGCGAGAAAGAAAAAAAAATATTTTTTATATTTTTTCATTGTTCTTATCTTTATCCTATATATAAATATGAAGTGTAATTAATATATGAAGACAATGTAGCTTTGAAAATAATTATGTATTTGTCTTTTTTGTATTTTATTTAGTTCAAAACTTTTTCATACACCAAAACTATGTCGAAAACAAATATTGCTGAGCAGACTGCTGCGCCAGTTGTCAGTGAAGCACCAACAGTTATAGAACGATGGGAACGAGATTTTTCACAGACGAAAACTGAGGGTGTCACATATGATTACATTATTGTTGGTTCTGGCTCAGCAGGTGCTGTCATGGCTAATCGTCTGTCGGAGCAACGTGATAAACGTGTTCTTCTAGTTGAAGCCGGATGCGTCGATACACACAGCGACATACATATGCCAGCTGCTTGGTGAGTAAAAGCTCTATAATGGTAAAATAATTATAACATCAAACACAGTCATAATTTCGAGTAAAATATTACTGAAGAAAAGTTTTCAAGTTAAAAGAAAAAAATGATTAGAAAAGTCAACTTCAAGAAATAGAGTTAGCAAGACTGCACAAACGTTCGTGCACTTCTTTCAATTGGCGACATTTTGTGACTTACAGAGAAAAACATTTTTTTCCTTTCTAGTGGTAATCTGCAGCGTATTGATATTGATTGGCAATATAAGACTACACCTCAACTTTATTCACACTTCGTCTGCATGAATCAACAAAGTAATTGGCCGCGTGGTAAAGTTTTAGGAGGTTGTTCATCTATAAACTATATGCAATATGTTCGTTGCGATCCACACGACTACGATAATTGGCAATTACCACAATGGTCCTATGAAGAAATGTTGAAATATTTTAAAAAATTAGAACGTGCTGATCCGAATACAATTCAAAGAAATGAAAAGTTTCGTAATCATGATGACGACAAGGGAATGATGGATGTAACACTATTTCAAGAAGCAAATCCAATAAATCGAATGTTTATTGAAGCAATGGAAAAGAATGGATTTCATGAAACTCAAGACTATAATGCTGAAGAAAGTCTTAATAAATGTGTATCAATATCACAAGTTTCAACAAAAGAAGGCAAGCGTTGGTCCACAGCAAGTGGTTATCTTTTGAAAGCAGCAAAACGAGAAAATTTAGCTATTCTCGTAGATGCACATACTTCTCGAGTAGAATTTGATGAGAATAAGCAAGTTACCGGTAAGTGACGCATTAAAAGTTTCTTTTTATTCAATTTTATAAAAATTTTCTACATCGAACATTTGAGTTATTTTGGAAAGTATTGTCTGTGGTCAGTTTTTCTTTTTGGTCAATCAACTCATAGTTTCCATTTCAAAATCAAATGTTTTCAATTTTTGTTTGAATGATTCTCCATGGGCTCAAAGTAATCGAGTTCTGAAATTCCATCATCTCTCTTCAAGAAACCTATTAGTCGATACTTCGACAATATTGAGATAAAATTTCTATGTCAGTTTTAGCCTAAAACCAAATAGCAGAATTTTATTCAGTATTGCGATTTAATTCAAGTTCAAATCTTTATTTTAGCGATCACGAATCAATAATTTTAAATCGATAGTCTCTGGAAAGATAATATAATTCGCCAACACAGCATGCCAAGTAGAAATCTCGATTTTATGTACATCGAAAGAAAACAATTTGTTCTAATGATTTGTCTTATTGAAAGTCTCAATCAGTATAAAAAATAGATCTACAATGTTGTTTCGCAAAATACGTAACCAGAAATTATGTATTCAATTAATTTCAATGCTCCCTGTTTTGTCTTTTGAATAATGAAAACTGCAAATCTCTTTGATATTTCTTTCAAAAGATATTCGAGAGCATTTTATTTTGAATAGAGCTATATTAGTAATGTTCTGTGTTGTAACGTTTTTTCCGTATGACATCCAACGCAAATGATGTTTCAAAAAAAGTACAACGACTTTCCACTTTTGGTGTTATTGAATATTGTTTTTAAATGAAATATTCTTCTTAATTTTAGGTGTTATTGTGAAACGAAGTAGCTCATTGGATAAAGAAGAATTTATCAAAGGTAAAGAAGTTATACTATCAGCTGGTGCGGTTGGAAGCCCTCATATACTTCTTCTCTCTGGGGTCGGCCCTCGAGACGAATTACAAAAACACGACATACCAGTAATTGTTGATTTGCCTGGTGTCGGCAAAAATTTACAAGATCATGTGTTCACGTTAATGATCTTTCTGACTTCAATACCAACACTTTCACCTAGTGATGTGACACCCGAAAACTTAGCAACATGGTCAAAACAAGGAAAAGGCCCTTTAACATCATGTGTTTCTGAAACACTGGCATGGGATCAATTTAATGGTGATATTAAGTCATGTCTAAACTCAATTTATTTTTCTTTGCTTTTCTAGATGAGGCAAACGTACCTAATCTTCAAGTACATATTCTTCCGATAACAACTGACTGTGAACTATTTAAGAATTTTAACTTCAAACCGGAAGTTTATGAGAACTATTATAAACCATATGTTAGCGATGGATCCCAATGGAGTGTATTTTACTTTCCTACACTTCTACATCCAAAATCAAAAGGTGAAATTACACTTGCAAGTCGTGATCCCCTCGCACATCCCATAATTGATCCACATTATTTGGAAGACAAAGAAGATGTTCGTATATTGATTGAAGGATGTAAACAAGCTGAGAAGCTTTGTCAAACCGAACCACTGAAAGGAAAACTCAGATCGCTAGCAAAAGAAATGAATGGGAATGAATCAATAGAAAACGAAGATCAATTTTGGGAATCGTTTGTTCGGAAATATACACTTACACTGTATCATCCAATAGGTACGTGTAAAATGGGAATAGAAGAAGATCCAATGACAGTTGTAACACCTGATACACGAGTAAAAGGTGTAAGAGGTCTACGTGTGGTTGATGGAAGTATTATGCCAACTCTTGTTTCCGGCAATACAAATATTCCTATAGTTGCCATGGCGGAAAGAGCTTCCGATTTAATTAAGAACAATGCTTAAAAAATATCTGCTAACTTTTAATGCTATAAAATAAACTTAATTAGTTTTAAAGAATCGATAATTTTCAATAAAACCTTATCTGTCGAAATTTGCATTGAGGGGGATACTAAATCAATTGAAAACAGACCAATCTATCTCTTAACGAAAAGACAAATCAATCTGCTAATCTCAACTTTTGCTTTTGAGCAAAGGATATAGTTGACAAAACAAATAAAATAATTTATAATTTTGCTTTGATTGAAAGGACGAGGAGCGTTTTATGCGAAAATCGGTCCAATTAGAAAGCATCATCAAATCAGCCTCAAAATTTCGCCACAGATACACTACAGTATAAATAGTCATCCATATAAATTTCAGCTTGATCCGTCAAACTTTTCCTGGATCTCACTAATACACAATATTGCTATTTTCCTCACTGTATTGACAGAGAGGGAGAGAACAGAACTTCGCACTTGAGAGAGCATGCATGTGTACTGTGAGAGCTACGTCATATACCAGTGGTCAGAGAATTAAATTCTACACCGAATAGTGTGCTTCGCTAAAGTTAGATATCAAGTACACCATATGAACATTGCAACCACCACATAATTAATGGCATATCTTAGAATATTGTAAACCTTTATTCTCCATCATTTCATTCAGACCCGGAGCCATTTTTACACTGTCAAGAGGGATCATCAAGTAGTACAAAGCTGCCAAGACACGAGGCTGCAAAGTCTGCCGTCGATCCATTATAAAGGACACACTGGCGAAAAAATGATGAAAATTGGCTTACGATAAATCTTGGGGGCTTCTAATCCTCGGTATTTGATTAAGGCTATGAAGGATCTGTTGTATTGTGAAAATTAATGTTAAACAGCGAATATATATACCTTAAACGCCACATCTTAGCTAACTTTGGAATTTTTGCGTGTCGCGGAGGAAGGTGAAAAATATTTCTAGGCAATTCAGTTGTGTTTATGTTTGGGTGAATACTGCTTTGCTTATACTTTGGGTGGCTTGAGCTTTTTGGCATCTAAGTTGCCCCAGAAATGGTTTGGTATTGTAATATTTGAGAAGGGTGGGGGTGGGGGTGGGGGTGCTGATGTGCATGAAGAAAACAATAGCACTCAAACCTACACCCATCCACACCCACACCCTCAGGAGAATCGGTGAAAGAAACGAGGCATTTCAATAACATAGATTGTCCTAAAATCATTTGCGTAATAGTTCCGTTCTTAGTAAGAATCACTTTTTAGTTTAAAATAAAATTGTTCGCTGCAATTCTATGGATTATATCAAATTGATGATCTTTTTTTTATCTAGGCACATTGAACAAATTGTTGTTGAATACTTCGACTCATTCGTTATTTTTTTTTGATTTAGTCACTGACTAATTGATGTGTCGAAATTATACAAGTCAGAGAAATAGAGGGAAACCATTTTAATCCGAGCGTGCTATTTACATTCTCAAGTCATGAAAACATGTAATAATAATTAATACAAATGTAAATCGGATCATTTTGAAACAATATCAAAATTTCAATTCATACTAAATATTTAAATCAATCTGATGATGAAAAATCGATATCATTTCAGAGATTATTTGTAGAAATATTTCCTTCTAGAAAATTCATTCTCTCGAGATATAGTGAGAAGAAGAAGTAACAAATGGGAATCTTTTTAATATTAGAATTTCATCATGGAAGAGTGGACTGAAATTATGATCCCCACCTCCCCCCCAAAAGATTTCGCTTTCTGATATATTGACATTACTAACAATAGAAAATTATCATTTTTTTGGTTATCAAATTAAAGCCTAATTTTGAGTTCTCAAGCGAAATTCATAACTAAAATGCAGTTCTTCATATGAAAAGAAACGAAAATTCTAACTCCTGGATATCCTTCGTTTCTTGAGATATTCAAAGAAGCAATCAGAAAAAAACAATTAGATTTTCTATTAATGAAAAGCAGTGAAAGTTTTCACCGCCGGCGAAAATGAACGGTTTGGTGAAATTTCTAGAACAGAAAACAATAAGGATACTTTTTTGCTTATCCGAAAATGAATTTTTTAATTTTCTCTATTCGAAACTAAAATCCATGCCAGAGGTAGAAATTCTTCAATTGAAAAAAGGCAATAGTTCTTACCAATCGAAATCGTTTGTATTGCGACTAATTTAGGCTAAAAATCTGATAAGGTTCTTAAAATAATTCGTTTCGAAATTAAAATGTAACTTCTGCAATTGAGATAAAATTCATAAAAGAAGCAGAATTTGTACATGTGAAAGGTATTGAAATTCTCAACTGTTAAAACGATTTCTTGTGCACAATGTTCAGTGAATAAAACCAAAAGTTATCTCCTAATATTGTTTACAATAAAAAAGTTATTTTTCTTTTGAAATAAGGAGCTGAATTCCAAAAGTAATGCACGATTTCAAGATATGAATGAATATGACCGGAGTTTCTCCGTTGTGAAAATTTTACCTTCTGCAAGATATTCAGAGAAGAGAACTCGACTTCCGCTGTATGAAAAAGAGTGCCTATTCTCACAACTAAAACATCCTTCTTTTTGCATGATATTGACAAGTACGACAGGAAACTTTGTCATTTTGTTAATTTTCAGGACGAAAACTTTAATATTTAACGTCGAATTGTTCAGTCCTGTGCTGTACTCCCATGAAATGATACAAAACGGTCTGCTCTATCTATTGAAATCATTACTTTCTTAAGATATCGTTATTAGGATTGTGGAAATCGCAGTACTTTTTTGAATATTCGAACGAGTAACATTATCTTGTAGTTTTTAATTGAACATGATTCCAGTACTAAAATTCCATGATTTGTGATAGACTATGGAATTTCACTGGTAGACAATCTCAAGATCATAAGATATTAACACCAAATACAAGAAAAAAATATCGTCATTTTTAATTGTTACACTGAAAAATGCATTTTCTGATCAAGAGTTAAAATTCATAACAGCATCAAAATTAAATGAAAAAATCCGATTAGGTAAAGATAATAAATGAAAACTCTCTTGCTCATGAGCTATTCTCATTTCACATAAACACAAACCAGGATTCTTTAATTTCCAAGCCGAAAATGATATATTTTTTAATTTAAAACTGAAATATCATATTACTAATTAGTTTAGAAGACTAATTATTTGTTGTGTGCTTGTGTATGGAAGACGCCCAAAAAATTGTCTTTTTCACAATTCATGTCATTCGGTTACTTGAGACGTAGCAACAGAAAAATCAATGAATGATATTGTTCACGCGACATTTTGCTTAATGGTTATTCTCCTTCACAATAGATGTTCAACTTAGCACGATCGATTTGAAGTAAAGTTTTTAGATATGAATTGTCACATTGAGAAATGCTTTCGATAAGTGTAGATAGTGGTGTGGTCACTCTACGTATATATGAACACTCTCACCCTCTACTAATATTATTTCATATTTAAAAGCACTTCTGATTGAATGTCAACATTAAATTAGATACAATCAGCTACATATCCAGTTTATGTACACTGTGGTCTTCAGCAGACATTCTGCTTGATGTGCACAATACGCAATTAAATTTGAAGGGAGAGAATGAGTAAACTACACATATAGTTGAGTTTTTATTGTTTTCGCCTCCTTATTCATGTTTATCTATTGATTAACTATTCCATTTCATGAGTGGCTCGGCTATGGCCTGATAAAATAGAACGTTTAATTGTTGAGTTTTGTAAGACTCTAAATGATTCACTAGACATTTCATAGAAAATCCATCTAATTTCTTTGTCACGTCAAAAATCGATGTTGTTGCTCAATGTAATTTAAAGATTTTCAAATTTAGAAGAGTCAAATTCATTTTCCATAAAATTTTATTGAATCATTTCGAGTTACACGAAGCTCGAAACTCAAACATGCACTTTCATCAGACCATAGACGAAAGTAAAGAATGAGAACGATGAAACTGTATCAATTAATTGTTGACTGATGTACGTTAGAAAATTTTCATGGAAACGTTAACCAATCTATACTTTCAAAAGCAATCATTTTAAAATCCTTTCAGGATCATTGCTCACAGTCATTATTCATGTCGAAAAGCTATATTTAACAATGAATCATTACTTTTCTTTTTAAACAAAACTAACAATACAGGTTTTGTATTTATGACTTTGCACGTGATCGTAAGACAATGCACACAAAAATCTCTTTATTTCAATTAGACGTATGGTGTAATATAAACTAGTCTGTAATCATTAAAGTATTTTAGAGTTTGTTTGGCAGGAAAATTGAAAAAATAAATCATTGTTTGCGATATTGAACTCAGTACGTGACGGTGTCATATTTTCTCTAATGAAAAATATTCTTTTGTTTTTGTCTAGAACGATTCTTGAAGAATTTAAACAGAACAAGAAAAAGAAAAATTTCAAATATAATGATTCGTTCGCTATGACAATGATATATGCTATTCTTTATTGAATAGTTGATTCAAAGCAGAAAGGAATTATTATGATATCTTCTCTCTATCGTCAGCCATCGATATCTTATAAGAAGAGAACAATCATACCGAACGAAAAAAACTACTTTATAAAGCAATAATGCACAATTGATAGAGGCAGGAAAGTATGATAATAATTGATCATTGTAAGGACAATGATGAATTTTTCATACATCAATACGTCTCACACTTAACAATTTGTTTTCTCTGAACATATTTCATCTACGAAAGTGATAAGATGATTCTTGAATTATTAGCCAACGAAAATATTACTGAATTTATTCGAATACTTGGATGGTGTTGATCTATTTCGTGCTTTTTTGGACTTAATTCTCGCTTTGGGTGTGGGTGTAGATCTTCTACTCGATGACATCTACCCACACCCACACCCACCCACTCACACCCACACTCACCCACACCCACACCCACATCCATCCGCACCCAAATTCGATGAAAAATAAACTTTTTAGTATATCATGAAGTAAAATATACTTCAGTCAATGTAATTAGAAGCCCAGAAGCATGTG